ATGCCGTTGCATCGAATTGTCGCAATTTTAAACTGGTAAACTAAAACAGAAACATTCACAGACGTTATAATTCGATACAAAAATTACTTGTAATCCATAAACAATTCAACTGTCTTTTAGGTTCTCAATTGAATTAAAATGGCAAAGCATTCCCTAAATAACAGGTGTCATCTAATTAGTAGATAGTTGAGAAAACAAACCAGATAAGGGGTTTATAGTAGTGAGTAAACCCCTTAAGAGTCGCATTTTCTTCGCTATCTAATAAGATGACCCCTCCTGTTTCGGAAAGGGGCTGTCGTTTTCATTCATCTAAGAAGGCATAGAATACTTGAGATGCTGATGTAATTCTTCGTAACTTTTGTGTCAAATTATAAAGCTAATTAATGATTAAATTTTAGTTTATAAGCCTAAAAATGCGATTATTCGATGCACGTCAATATGACGGGTGCGATGGTTCAGGGGTTAAAAAGAAACACTCAATCGTTAAAAGTAACATTTCCTCATAAACAAATGAACGAGCTGTTTTTCACAAGTAGATAATCAACTAAGCAATAGTTAACATGTGTTTGTTGTTTCCAAAAGAAACATGATTTTAACAATAAGTACGCAGATAGCAATTTTAGTTTGCAGCAAAGTTGCAGCAATCTTACTCTCCAAATCTGCAAGCTTGCAACAAATTTGAAACGGCAAGAGTGCAAGCTTGAAACAAGTTAACGCAAACGAGTTAGTCACCACGCGTCAAACTCATTGCAAACTATAGCAAAAACAGAGTATGAACACAACCTCGGATTACAACCCGCCACCTATTGCTTCCTAAACCTGCCATCCTAACCACTCAGCCAGCTAGTCTTTGAGAGATGAAGATAGATTGCGCTAATAGATCGTGCATACGATTTATTTTAAACTGTTTTCTTGATTTCATTAATTTTTTAAACTTTCTGTTGAGAATATGATTTGAAGTCAAAGAGAGAGCGATTTTCGCTAATAACTATGTTTTGCTAGTAGAATAAATTATGAAATTAGGGTTCAAAAGTAATTACTTTTAAAATAGGACAAAATGTAAGTTATTATTTTTCAACAAACATTGACTGTTTTTTAGGTTTAATTTTGTTTATGAACGTTAAAATTTCAACATTAAGAAAAAGGCGGTTTAGTTTTCTTTAAAGTGCGAGTTCTATATTTAGTAAAAAGATGGAAATTTTTTTTTAATAAAAAAAGTTTTTTTTTACAAATTATCATCGATTTATTGAATTAATAAAAAGGAGATGCTATTAAAAATCGGATGTTTTTTAAAACAGAGACAAAGATTAACTGTAAGTGTGCTGTACATCTTTGCAGCAAACTTGTTTTGCAATCTTGGTGTGAAGTTTGTTATAACAACTTCACAGCAAACTTGTTTTGCAAGTGGGTTGGTCGATTATGCTTTGTTACTTTGCAGGAAGTATGCTGCAAAGTTGCCACATCAAGTTTGTCATGATAAGCTAATATCAAGAAAAATCAAACTTGATGCAAGTGTACATGCTATTTGGGTAATATATGTTATGGTGAATTTAATAATATTAGATACTGGATTTTCTAGGCATTTTATTTCCAGTGGGGGAGAAGGGAAAAAACTGCTCTCTACTCTATAAAATAAAGCCATTAGTTCTAACAATGTGAAAAACGTGTGACTAATAACATTGGCTAAAACTGATGAAAAAATCGACTAAATTTCATTACAATAATAGAAAGCATTATAAATTGTAAATTAAAATAAATTTTTATTGGTAGAGCACTACAATTAAATTGGCATAACTGAAAATATTTTTTTTGGGGGGGAGGGCTTGAAAATGGTATAAAAATCGTTTTCTACAAATATGTTCCCGAGACAAATATAAAAATCGTAGTGGAAAAGGTCACTTTGTATACATTTAGGAGGCTTTTCTAGACGCCAATTGGAGATATTTAATTGCATAGAACACAGTCGCAAACGCTTGTCACCACATGTCATAAAAGACATCCATATGTGGAATTGGATTGGATTGGATTGCTTGGGTTTTATGGCGCCATGGCCAGATCTGACCACGCTGCGCCAGATCCTCTTGTGGCAGTAAACAAATTGTCGAGAGGGAATAACACAAACGAAATAAATATAATACAGATTTATTTCATCTGTATTAAATTAAACTAAAGATTGCATTTTTGTGAAAATAAGACATTAAATTGTCGCTTTCAGGTAGAAAATTTTTTGTGGAATTATTCTATTACATTATACACATTAATAAACGTTTTGTTTTGTTTTCCACAACTAAAACAAATTAAAAGAAATTGGATATGGGAAAAGTTAAAAAGCACATTATAGAGTTGGTTAAAAATTTACCTGATTGTCCCATGGCTGCCCATTTATCTAACTGAGAGAAAGCCGATCGAACTTGTGCTTCACATTGAGGCGAAATATCATGGAAGTCCTGAAATCATTAGAAAACATTTTTTTTCAAATTTTAGCAAAGGAATTTAGGAAGTAAATTCTCAAGATATAAGTAAAAATAATGACTAAATAAAAAAATTGAAGATATTTTCTTGGCTATAAAAATAGCTCACATGAATCGGTACTGTAAGCTGTATCGGAAAAGTATGTAAAATGTATCATTTGTAAATTTTGACGCAGTTATACAGAAGTGAAATCTTGAATGGAAATTTCTTTCAAAGCTAACGAGATTGTTTATGATTTTTTATCTTTAGTTTCTAAATTAAAAGTGTTAATCGATACCATGTATTTCAACCTAATAAACATTAGAAGGAAAATTCTTCGTTTTATGTCTCAGTCTCTATTGATTCTAACTTAAAAACAATCCATAAACTCATATGTGAATATCTTTATCGAAAACGTGAAACTTCTAAAAAAGAATTTTAAATATTGTGACAAAATCGTCTTGTGGGTGTACGTGAATGCAGTCCAATAAGCAGGATTTAAAAAAAGAAAGCTCTTTATTTTAAAAATATTCTAAGCAAAGAAATGTAGCACAAGTATTAAAACAGCACTTGTAAAAATTCACAACAGAGATTACCATCCAATCTCAACACAGCGCTCAAAGGCTTCTTATTAGCTCACCAGTTTGCTTGCTGATCAAAATCCAACTAACTCCTCTTAGCTTGAGAGCTTGCTTTTATACTTTTTCAACAGGAAGTCACGTCATTACGTAGCGACGTAAACTCCAGAAAGTTCATGAAGGCAGTAGAAATAGGTTGACATTTCAAGGCCCTTCTAATCTTAGGGTGCACAGGCTCATGGAACTGATATACCTCTGCTGATCTCGGAGATCATCAACAACAGCAACACAACAGGTCTTTCCAGAAAATTCCGTTTGTCGACCAAAGTCGCCATCTTTGTCACCAAGTCGCCAAATATGCCACCAAGTCGCAAGGTCGCCAAATTTGTCTCGAGGTCGCCAAGATTAGCATCTCAGAGAAACAACTTTATAGCTTTGTAACACTGCACAATATATAACGTATGATTGTTTATGGAAATCATTTTCAATCTTTTAATATTTTGGTTTCAAATTCTTTCTTACAATGTTTTTGAATTTTATTTTTCATTGTTTTGCCTTCCATCTGTAATTTTGTGTCCTCTTTTAAAAGTGGAGAGTTGAGGTCGTTTACGCTATAAAAAGTAGGTTTTAATTAATAATATTTTAGTTGCACAGGTTTGAAACTTTTCACGCGGGCATTCATAGATCATACGTTTCGAATGCTTATTTGTAAGCATCAGAAAACTTGGCGAATTCAAGAGACCACCAACAGATAAAGCAAAATATGATTCGATTGTGCTGTGATACATTCAAATAAATGGTGGATATTTCAAACAAATATTACAGACAGGTGTTAATTGTTTGTAGTATAGCGTATTCCAATGTAGCAAGAAGTAATGAAGGAATTCACAATCTGATTTTTCTTTCATTGTATGAATGGTCCTTAAAAGAAGGTTTGCCCAAGACATGGTAAAGCGATCTGTGTCTACGTATTTAACTTTAATACCTCTGCGGGTTTTGGAGATAATAAATACAGATTTTTGTCTTGTATTGAAGAATGTATGATAGGTATTTTAGCGGTTAATATTTCTGCTACATAATTACAGCATTAAAAATTATTTTTTTAAGAATTATTTTAAAGACAATAATCTAAAAAATAGAAATGTGTTTTTGAAAGAACTTCTTACTGTTTTTTAAAATGCAAAGTTGGTACCGTTTGGCGTAGTTATAGCAAAACTTAAAATATGGTTGTTTCGTTTTTTGTATAATTCTCCACTAGGTCTATATCAGCCACCTCCAAGCATAATTATCGGAGGGAAATGTCACTTTCCATCTGCTGGATAGTCTCCAAAATGCTCACAAGTGCCCCAAGAATAGCAACCTTAGCTGAGAATTTGGTGAAAAATCGCTGTTTGCGGTTGCTGAACTAGATACGTTTGGCGGGCAAATTTGGCTGCTATAGAGCGAATGGAAAATATTCTTTATATGTGATTTCCAGATACTCTACTGCAATTGATTCTGTTTAACTGGAAATAGGATATTTTGAAACAATTAAACAGATGCCCCATTTAAACGAATTTCACAACAATAAGCAATTTTTCTTCATCATTTTAATAAATTATTGAACAGAAATATAATATATAAGAAAATAATCCTGTTATCCACGCCTTGCCCATTAATGATAGAAAAAAATTGATTTAGTGCCTCTTCAATTTTAGGATCCTTTCCATCATGTTATGTTTTGGATATTCCTGTTTGTCCTCTTTGTAATGGCTATTTCTTTATTGTAAGAGACGGGCTATGGTAGATTTAGTACACCAGTTATCTCAGCAAGCGTACGATAGCTTGTATCAAATGACTGGCTTTTAATTTTATCTAGCAAAGTAATTTTACTTGAAAGTGTAAACTCCCCTCTTGGCATCTGGGCAAGAGCTATACCCCCCCCCCTCCCAAGTTTATTTATATTTTCTACACTCGAGGAAGGTGTAGTGATAACATTCAGAGCACTGGGCAGAAATCACATTGCGTCATCACCGGTCATCGCAATGCTTTGTTTTAATTAGACAGTCAGATTCCCTTAGTCCGTGCCAGTTCTGAGTCGGCTGTTAGTTGTCCGTCGAATCCGCACGAAAGCAAGGTCCACGGCGCAGCTGAGACATCCCACGGGAAGGCCTCGACGCTAGTCCGCGCCGAACCAGACTGAGTCGCCCCAGCCAGTATCGCCCAGTCCCGGTGCGCATATAGGCATACTGTACTCAAGCAGAGCACCATTGTAACTTTGGAGGGCTCTGATTGGACAAGCGAATCTGACGGAACTATGCTTTGTTGTTTGTTTACCTTTGACCACGCTCTGCCTTATTCTTTCAACTAGCGATAGCGAAATGTTCTTTGTGTAATACGCCATGGCTATTCAGAATTCCAATCTTCCCCCTTCTTTTGTAAACGAAGTTGTTAAAATCGTGAAAGATGAAACCATTGTTCGAAGCAACATTAAAAGTGTTTCCGATGTGTATTCATGGATAGAAGAATATGGAAGAACTTTAAACAAGATACGCGTGTCTCATTGTTGATGTGGTGTGCAGAAGAGTGGCGTCAGATTCGCTTGTCCAATCAGAGCCCTCCAAAGTTACAATGGTGCTCTGCTCGAGTACAGAATGCCTATATGCTCCCGGTGCAGTGCCACACCCGCTTCGGATCCCAGCCCGATGGGCCCAGTCCTCAGAGCCAATCCTTGCCCCGAAGTTACGGATCGAACTTGCCAACTTCCCTTACCTACATTGTTCTATCGACTAGAGGCTGTTCACCTTGGAGACCTGCTGCGGATATGGGTACGGACCGGCACGAAAATCATTCTCTCTACCTCGGATTTGCAAGGGCCGACAGAGGCGCATAGGACACAGCAAGAGCCGCGGAAAACAGCAGAATAAACTTACTTTTTTTATACCATGGGCAACAAAAAATGATTAACTGACAAGGCAAAATATAGAGTTTGAACATACATAAACGTAATTTCTATCCACTTATTAACATCATTTAAGAGTGAATTCAGAATCGGGCACATCTCATCTGAAAATGCATCTGAGGCTATCCCAATTAAGCAAGGTTTTGTCCCTTTTCAGTGTTTAAATTATGCATTAATTTATCAGTTTGGTTTCTGTTCCTTGAGAGTTGGACCAAATAAGCGGCAGCCCCAACTAACCAATGGGCGAATTTGATGGAATCGACTCTATTTGTAATGCTGATTGTTCTTGAATTTAGGAAGTGCAAAAGACTTACTTTTGTCACTGCTTGAAAGAAGACATCACCAGGTATTTTCCCGGCCACTTGATAAAGAGGGGCACTGGCTGCTATAGCCCCATGAATGATATTAGGGTACTTGAAACGCATGTAAGCAGCCAGCATACCACCATAACTGGAAAAAATCACAAACATGTTAATAATAAACAAGATTTTACTGAGGATGATTCATTAATTTTGCTAAAAAAACTGTTTTAGATTATTACTGAACATCTAGCATTTCGTTAAATAATTTCGCTCCCACTCAGAAAAAAATTGTAGAATGATTCTCAGAATATAGAAGAAAAATCTGTATAGTGAGCTTTTAATTTTTTTAGTTGATTTCCAAATGTATTATTGCATCCGCATATTATTCAGGTGGCAGATTTTTTAAAAAATAAAATAGCACCATTTATATAAGTCCATTCCATTCCATAACCCAGGAGGTTCGACTCAACCCAATGGTTGTAGAGTCTTTTGATGACCCCCGGGAAAGAACAATTATATAGGTCAGAACTGATAGCGAAAATATTAATTTTACAATAAAAATGAGTTTATGTTGATGAAGTTTCAGTTTGTATTATATAAAATAGGACGCATGAAGATTTTTTAAAAATTAGTTTTTGATACACATTACATATAATATACAAGATGCCGAGAACTTCTGCAATAAAAAGATAGGACAATAGAAGTAATGCCAGAAACAACACAAGAAAGGCAGGTCAGCTACTGAATCGAAACTGACAACTTCATCATCTATTTACCCTACTCGATAAATGGAAAAGCCTCAGGAGTATTGCCATGGAAGTATCACCTGCTAATTGACACATTCGTGAGGGAGATGGAGAAGCCTGCAAGTGCTAGGAATTGGCGTATATGCCTGAACCTACGGCTTGCCATCCAAGGTCCCAGGACTCGAACCTATGAGGTTTCTTAACTGGGAACTGATGAAGCAGTTGGCACGTCTGTGGATCTTGAATCTCCCATCCTCTGATAAAGGATCAACATGAACCAGTAAAATTTCTGTTCTCTTCCAGTATAACAGTATTGCGATCCTAAGATCTATGGAAATATTCTTTATCTTGCTGTGTACTAATACCTCTCTCATTGTGCTGCAAGAAATCGAGGATTTCTTGTATATTTCCTAAAATCCCACCGGGGGGGGGCACCGCCAGTCCACGGATGAGTTACTGCTAGATAAGTAAGTAGGAACTCGCTTCTCTGGTGGGTACAATAATGGTGGTGTGGCCCATATCCGAAGACAGGTCGTACTCCGGTAAAACGGGGAGTTGTTGCATGAGCCGCTCGTAATGGGGGCTATTATTCAGGAACCACAGTGCCTGACTATCTGTTGCAGCAACCGGTCTTTCATGTTGACCAGGGTGCCACGGCAGAGTGGGGCGATTATTTGCATATTTCCTAAAAGTCAGTTCTTAAAATGACAACATAATATTCGCAATACCTCCTTTAACAGATGAATATTTCATCATCTCAAAATAATTTGCAATGTTTTTAATTAATCAAAAAGCAACAACAAGACTCACCTTCCTCCGAAAGCGATGATGGGACATTTTTCTGCCTTGTGCGTCTCCTGAAATCTTCTGAGGAAGAAGGCGTAGTCGGATAAAGCTTGGTTAACGCTCAGGAGACCAATATTCTCCCCCTTGAAACTGTCGTTGCCGAATGGTAAAGACTTTCCATAGTATCTCTGCAAGAAGAACTCAGAATTAAACAATAGCATTATTTAATCTTAGTACAAAGGCAGTTTCAAAAGTCTTGGTTTTAAACTTGATGATAGAACACACCTAGATATGCACTACCGCCATCCAATGGCTGGTCATTAGTGGGGAGGTGAAGTGCTAGACTGCGTTTCACAATCAGGAGGTCTCGTCAACATTTTCTCACAATCAGGAGGTCTGATCAAGGGGTTGGCAGGGTCACAATTTTCTCATATTTGCACGCTTGTTGCAGGAAAAGTCCTGTGGAATCACATGAGCTTAATCTATGATGACAACCCTGTTGATTCTGATGTTATTGTTACCAATTTTCTGTCGTTGTAGCTGCTATAGAGAAATACCTGGTGTTTTCGCTAATATTATACGGTCATTATATCAAAGGCGTGAAATCTTAGTTAATGTTGACCGCAATAATTTTGAGCAGTTTCGGTCATTTTTTCCATGAAACATGTTCTTAAAATTCATTTCTTGTTCATTCTTTGTCTGTTATTCTCGTACTATTTCATCATTTCAGTATACAGAAGCTACCATTCCTAAAGTATCCTTGCTTGAATTACGCACTGTATAATCATTTATGCTTATCTAGATGTGTTGTATCACAGTTATCACCACCTTATGACATCAAATATCATCCCGATGGTGTGGTGTGGAAGTTAGAAGAAAGGGGATCCGGTTCTGGTGTGAGCCTTGGCCTCTGACTATGCATCAAAATTGCAGTATTTGTCCCAATACAGGCTTTGTGTAATTTTAAAACCTTTTAGGCCAATCTAAATAAACGAAACAGCAACATGACCCTGTGTTCTAATACGAGCGACGGAGGATAAAAAAAACTGATTGCCAGAGAATAATACTGCATTACTGAAAAAAGCGAGACACATTTTTTATTATGTCAAACATAAATATCCTTCCACTGATTGGCTAACGAAACTCCAACCACGTAGCGCGGAACATGACGTTAAGTAGACCCATTCGTTTCCGCGCGTCAATTTGTTACCATCGCAATTTACTTCGCGAAGGCCTGCTATTCACTGCCTCGATCTCTCCGGGCTCCAGAAGTGAAAATCTAATAAATATTACCTTCTTCTTGAAGCTCAGTCGCTATTATCGCTAATGATACGACACGCTATTATTATTTTTTCTCCCCTCCATCGAGTTATACCTATACTCAACCCAACCGTTTCGGTTAGTTGAATTTGGGGTTTAAAAAGCGATTCGTGGTTATTTTGGTGTGGTGGGCGCCCGACTATCTTTTTCACTGAGTGAAATGAGTAATGGACTGCTGCAAGTTTTTTGTTCCCATGGCAACCGCGACTCATCCAAAGTCGAGCATGAAAAGGAGTTGGCAGATGTTCTACTCTCTGCTACACCCACGTTCCCAGAAAGTTTATGAGGTAAGAGAATTCGATTTGTTTTTTTCCGCTGGTTGTTTAATAGAGTAGAGTTTATTCCCTGAAATGTTAACATTTATGTAAATTGTAAGGTTATTCACATTGCGTCTGCCGTTTTGGAAATTTCAATAGTTAGTTATATCAATTGTACGTTGAAAATGTTACATTATTCATTTTATGCTTATACCGGGAAATATTCCATTCCATCGTTTACTTTCTATACGAATAATTGAAAATATTCTACGTGTCTTAAACGTAGTACAATTTCATAGTAGTATAATTGTGTTAAAATACTGCTTCAAATACGATTAATCAATACGATTTTGAGTGTGCAGACGTGAGACCAGCAGGTCGAGAATCTAGTTATTTATAAAAAATTATTTATTATATATCTATTTATATAATAATATTAATTACTATTATTATGTAATTTCTTTATTTATAAATCCAAATAGCGATTGAATGTATAATCGTTTGCGAGTACATTTCAGAACTTAACTCTTCCAAGTAAAGTACAGTTGGCTAAAAATAGATTTTATGAATAAAAGCCTTATTTTTAGGAAGGAATTTTATTGAAATGGTAGTACAGAAAACATACTACCACAAGACATAAAATAGAATAAGTACCACCAGACTAAAAATGGTTAAATAATATAAAAAAATTGTGAAGCATTTCAAGAAATGAAAGAAATAGTAGAGAACCTCCTTGCCAATAGTGTCGAAATTTAAGTGAATGTCCTGGTTAATACAAATTGAAGGGAGTGCTTTTGAGAGCATTTAGGCTGGAGTTCCTTTATCTTCCCCTTCTTGCTGAAACTGAATGGTTAATAGTATAATAGACATTTGCACCTTAATTTTTCTTTTACCTAATATAATTCAAGAAAAAAATTAATTTAAGATATTTAAATTAAGAATTTTAATTTAAATTAAGAAAGAAATTAAATTTAATATAATTTTTATTAATAGTTGCAATGCCGTATTTGCATTTTGTTGACATTTAAATTAACAGCGATTTAAAAAAAGTGCCTTAATTGGGTTATTGGTGTGTCATAATGTCTGCTGTCCCATTGGCTTTTCTACTGATTATGGTTCTGGTTAATTTCTCATCTTACTGTATAAAATCGTTTTGTGAATAATAGTGCTTTTCGTTAAAATTTAGAGCAGAAGATTCTTTTTCCTTGTCTCGGCCTCTGAAAGTAGGAGATTTTTTTTTAAAAAACTGAATTATAAAAATTATTAATGCTTCGAAAAAGTTCCAATATAAATCCGATTCAGAATTGTTTTCCTTTTTTTGTGTCAGAAAAAGCAGTGATAAAGCAAGAGTAAGTGGTGTCCGAGCAGCGCCGAATCCAGGATTTGGGTCTGGGGGAGGCTAAGGTCATAAAAATTTTATATCGTCATAACGAATGTCAAGCCTCATGGTTTATGTAAACAAAAACACTTTAACTTTACAGACTTTACTCACCTGACAATAAGAATCATAGAAAACTACAATACTTTCGATAATTTAAT